CTCTTGTCACCAGGCTGTATTGCAATGGCACGATTTTTGCTCACTGAAACCTTCACCTCCCGGGTTCAAGTGATTCTCCTGCCTCAGCCTCCCAAGTAGCTTGAATTACAGGCGCCCAGTACACCCAACTAATTTTTGTATTTTTAGAGACAGGGTTTCATCATGTTGGCCGGCCAAAGTGCTGGGATCACAGGCATGAGCCACCGTGCCCTGCCAGCTTTGCCTGTACATCGTATCTAGAATCCAACCATTTCTCACTCCTCCAGGGCCCCCAGCCTGGCCAGAGCCTCACTATCACCTACCCACCGGGACTACCAACCTGGTCTTCCAGCTCTGGCCCTGGCCTCCTAAGCCTGTTTCTCCCAGAGTGGCCACCAGAGGGCGCCTATGAACACCAGGGCCAGGTCACATCCCTCCTTTGCTTAGACTCTTCCATGGCTCCCACCTCACTTAGAATAAAAGTATTCTCTGCAGCCCACAAGTCCCTGAATAATCTCCCCACCCTCATCTGCTTTCTTTCATTTTTACTTTTATATTTTTTTGAGATGGAGTCTTGCTTTGTCTCCCAGGCTGGAGTGCCAGTGGCGCCATCTTGGCTCACCGTGGCAAGCAAGCTCCGCCTCGCGGGTTCACGCCATTCTCCTGCCTCAGCCTCCCGAGTGGCTGGGACTACAGGCACCTGCCACCATGCCCGGCTAATTTTTTTGTATTTTTATTTATTCTTATTATTTTTTTGAGACGTAGTTTTGCTCTTGTTGCCCAGGCTGGAGTGCAATGGTGTGATCTCGGCTCACCACAACATCCGCCTGCCGGGTTCAAGCGATTCTCATGCCTCAGCCTCCTGAGTAGCTGGGATTACAGGTGTGTGCCACCACATCCGGCTAATTTTCTGTGTTTTTTTTTAGTAGAGACGGGGTTTCTCCATGTTGGTAAGGCTGGTCTCAAACTTCTGACCTCAGGTGATCCTCCCGTCTCAGCTTCCCAAAGTGCTGGGATTACAGGCGTGAGCCACCGCGCACGGCCGCATTTTTTTGTATTTTTAGTAGTGACAGGGTTTCACCGTTTTAGCCAGGATGGTCTCGATCTGCTGACCTCATGATCTGCCTGCCTCAGCCTCCCAAAGTGTTGGGTGGGAGCCATCGCTCCTGGCCTTCTGCTTTCTTGTTTGAGACGGAGTCTCGCTTTGTCGCCCAGGTTGGAGTGCAGTGGCGCGATCTCCGCTTACTGCAAGCTCCACCTCCTGGGTTCCCGCCATTCTCCTGCCTCAGCCTCCTGAGTAGCTGGGACTATAGGCGCCCGCCACCACGCCCGGCTAATTTTTTGTATTTTTTAGAGACAGGGTTTCACCGTGTTAGCCAGGATGGTCTCGATCTCCTGACCTCATGATCCACCCACCCACCGCGTCCAGCCTTCTGCTTTCTTATTCACTCCACTCCAGCCACTCTGGTCCCCTTACTGTCCCTCCAGCACACCAAGTGAGGTGTCATCTCAGGGTCTTTGTGGAAACTGTTCTGCCTGGATCTTCCCCAGATACCTTCACGGCCTCTCCCTCACCTCCTTCAAGTCTCTGCTTCAGTAATGTCACCTCCTTGGTGAGGCCTCCTTTCTGGGCCTTTTTGCTTCCTTCCTTTCTTTCTTTCTTTCTTTTTTTTGGTAGATGGAGTCTCACTCTGATGCCCAGGCTGCAGCGAGCTGAGATCATTCCACAGTGGTGGCTCACTCTGGTAACTCTAGGCACCAAGGTGAGGGAGAGAAAGTGGGCCAGGGGTTTACCCCATTGCTTTTAAGAAAAGCTTAGTGGCCGGACATGGTGGCTCACTCCTGTAACCCCAGCACTTTAGGAGGCCGAGATGGGCAGATCATCTGAGGTCAGGAGTTTAAGAACACTCTAGCCGGGCGCGGTGGCTCAAGCCTGTAATCCCAGCACTTTGGGAGGCCGAGGCGGGTGGATCACGAGGTCAGGAGATCGAGACTATCCTGGCTA